TGGAATATTTTAACTAAACTACAATGTAATAAGGTATTCTGCTGGAAACAAGCTGAATGCAACACTATCGGAAACAGCCAGCATTTATTACAGGATTCAAGTTAATACTCTGTTTGATAAAATCTCATTTTTACTTTTGATCTAGATCAAGCCCAATGACCGCTTACTGACAATTATTCTCTCCTGGGCTCTGATTCAAGTTACTACTGACCGTGTGGATCTCTCTTCTGAAGAGAATGAGTGTTGCAAAGCCCACCAGAATGATGACAGGAGCCAGACTGATATAGGCCAAGGCCTTGCCGATGATGTCACCTGCAATCACATCCAAAACATAGCTAAGAAAAAAAAGGGAAGAGTTCCATATTTGGACATCACTACTTTTCCCTACAGAGGTATATCAGCCAACCGAAAGCAATAACATACATGTCCTCAAGAGTCAAATTTAGCAGGGCACATATGTTAGCGTTTACTTGCAAAATACCTATTTTCCTTTCACCCGGAAATGAAATTTAAGCTGCAGTTTATTGGTAGAATTGTGCTATGGAATCGCGCTGTAGTTTGTCGCTGTCATTGAGCCACAATTTGACCAATTAAAATGCAGATTTCATTTCAGGGTGAAAGGAAAAAAAAAAAGAAAGAGGTAGGAGCCACTCCATAATTGGTCAAGCTGTTTTACTGCTTCAACTTACATGACTACTGAGAGTGAGCACTTGTTGCAAGTCTTGCAGGGTTGTGGGTAAGCAAAATTCCGGTAAATTTGACTACATGGTAAACAACCCCCCCATGTACTATCAAACTGTATTCAAAAAGTACTAGCGAAATCTTAAGGCATAAATGTTCGTGACAACAGAAAATTTCTGAACAAATCAACGACTGAAATAGAAAAACTTCAGTCATGTCAGTCATGTCTCTTGGTCACTTACGCACTTGGTAACATTGCTATTATAAGGTTTGTAAAAACTGGATGTATACCTGCACATGGTGGATGTCTGACTGAAAAAAACACGAGCAGTGGTGGCAAAAGAACTAAATCAGTTAAGAACCAACTGGGTTACTTTCAGAGGGCAAAACAGAAACCAATTGAAGATGAGGCCGACAGTAAGTTCCCAAAATAGAGGGCGTTCTACTACAGCATATGCGCCCACACCAAAGTGCATGTATGATGTAGGGTGTGTTTGCATTTTAACCATTTACCTTCCGGATATTCAACAAATGTGAGGGAGACCGGCCGCCATTGCACCTCCCCTTCGGCAGTGTGGTCCTCCCTTCCCGCTTCCATTCTCTGTCAGAGTCTGTGGTTGTTTCCTTGCTCAGTCTCGGCGCTGAAAGGGGAAATGCATTTCTATCTCGTGTGGTTGCAATATGCTAGCGCCGTGCAATGCAATTTGCAATGGTCGGATGAATGTTTTTAATTTACAACGTGTAGACCGCGTCAAACAAAATTACATGGCACGCCTAACTTGACAAACATACAAAATCGAGATCTCACTGTTAGCAGAATGCCATAATTTACTGAAATGATTTTGTCAGGCTGTTTGTAATTTTGAATTTTGAAACGGATACAACGATGGAAATTTAAGTATCGAGCGTAACCCCCGAACTTTTTTATCATCAAGTATACGTTTGTTATGGGTTACAATTCATTAATCTTTTGGGGTTCATGACGTTCATTCAGATTATTCCATTTCAAATTTGGGTGTAGAATCGTCCTGTACAAATGAGATGAAATACAACTGTTCAAATTAATACACACTCTCCTGTTTAACTTACTATAAATTTAATAAAACCATATAATTTGTGAATACATCATTGAAGATCATTACTTCTGCTAGAGAAACTACCCCGCGTAAAAGTGGACACTGCCGACAACGACCAAAATGGCTGCGCCCATGGCGAAAGCGCCGAAAGCGCTGTCTCTAGAAATTCTGGCTGAATGTAGCACAACAAAGGCAAGGACATGCAAGTTGAGGCTTCCACATCAATTAGTAGATACTCCTGTCTTCATGCCGGTCGGGACACAAGGCACAATGAAAGGTCTTACGACGTCACAACTTAAAAATCTTGACTGTCAGTTAATTCTTGGCAACACGTACCATTTAGGCATGCGCCCTGTAAGTTTAAATGCCTGTTTTTTTTCCGAAACTGAAATAACCTAAGTGCATTCTTTATGCCAGAATCCTATAAATCTATAGAAAGAATGAGGCCCGACAGATTTTTTTCAAGTAGCATTAGATTTTGCGCTGGAAATACTTTATAGAATTTCTGTGGAGAGAGAAAAAATTTATTCATTGCAAACAAAGAAACATTAACAAATGATACGTACGCTTATCTTTTAAATGTTGTCGCAAGTTAAATATGTGAAACATGACATAAAATAGAATCCAAATTCCCAAATCTTCAGGTAACTATTACAGTAATCACACTGATATGGAAATGTCCACAATCACAGATCCATGCTAACACCATGAACACAGTATCATTATTTTGAGTAATACAATGGCATTTAACCCCTTCTCCCCACAGGGACCAGAACTGTTAGAAAAAGCTGGTGGACTTCACAACTTTATGAATTGGAACAGAGGGCTTCTTACAGTGAGTAGATTGTAAATGTCAGCATTGGAACGTTGTGCATTTATAAGATTAACAAGCTTCTTTGCAAGTTTGCAGCTGTTTGCTGATATTACTTATTCGTGTTTGCCCATTGTTAAAGGTAGAATTTTTGTCACATTTCATATTATGACAAGAATGACAATACTTTGTTCAATAACTGGCCTTGACCAGTTTGAGCTGTAGTTTACACTCTAACCTTTGTGATTTCAGCCTATTTGGAATCTATTTAATTTCATCTGTCTATGGCATAGGATAGTGGTGGATTCCAGATGGTCTCGCTACTTGAATTGGCTGAAATTACGGAAGAAGGGGTAAAGTTCAGGTCTCCCTACACCAAGGAGGAGATGCTTTTGACACCAGAGAAGTCTGTGGAGATCCAGGCAAGCATCGGTGCTGATATCATCATGCAGTTGGATGATGTGGTGCACAGTTTGACGACAGGACCGCGAGTGGAGGAAGCCATGCGCAGGTAATGAGAGGGCTGCCTCTGTTCAGCACAGATTTGAACCCTGCCCAAATGATGTCTCCTTAATAGGTATTGAGCATGTGCCATTCAAATGACCGATTTTGAACACTAAGTCAGGAATAAACGCAGCCAATTGGCCCCCGAGTTCCAAACTTTTGCTGAACAGCATCCATACTATCAGGGACTTGTGATGCTTGGTGGCGGCAGACAACTGGTCCTTTTTGCCGGTTCTGGGCATGCGCAGTTTGTTTGCTGGTCCAAGCATCTTAAATCTCCCATTCAGTGTTGGGAAGTTGGATTTCTTTTTCAGTTGGATTTCTCCAGTTGAAAATTTGAAAATAAACACTTGAGATGCTTGAGATGTTCCAAAGGAATTATTGAAACCTGTTTGCATGTTAGGCTGTTTGTCAGTTTGTTCAAAATTTGAGGTTGTTAATGAAGTGGAGACATTTCCTTTCATTTATGATAGGTCAATACGCTGGTTAGACAGGTGCATAGCTGCCCAAAAGCGACCACATGAGCAGAATCTGTTTGCAATAGTCCAAGGGGGCTTGGACTCCAGACTACGGACCATTTGTGCAGAAGGTAAGGGAAATCAAATCTTTACACAAATACTTGTATTTTGTCAATATTTAACATTTAATATCTCACCTGAAGAGGTGTTGGATTTTGTCTTGAATGTTTGCTGAAGCTTGTTTGTGGTTTTCAATTCAACATGAAGCTTTGTATCTTTCTCTTTTTCGAGTGGACATTCATTTATTTTATCCTGTGAAGAAATGGTGAAGCGAGACACTCCCGGTTACGCCATCGGAGGATTGAGTGGTGGCGAGGAGAAGGATTATTTCTGGAAGATGGTGACGCTATCAACGGACATACTGCCTAGGGACAAACCGCGATATTGCATGGGAGTCGGGTAATAACTCTAGCTTGCCCTTTCCCAAAGCTGCAGAATTTTTTTTTATTTAAATATTCCAGAAGATAAACCAACCCCATGAAAGAAAATTGCCTCATTCTATGATGTATTGAAAGAGACTGATAACATGGTTTTATTATTAGCAGGGTGAATGTGAACCAGAAACCAAATACCAGGCTCCAGTTACCCTATGTAATCCTTGTTATCCTTTTTTGATATTACAAGATAACTCCAGTTGTTGTGTAAATATGTTATTTTCAAGAAGTATTTTATGACTATATTTAGTGGGGTTGAAGTGGCTTTTTCGCGATAAAATTGGTACTATCTTGTTTCGTTTTATAGAGTCTAGGGGCACTCTGCGAAATGCATTTCAGTAATTCACAATTTGGAAATTCTTCCTTTTTTCAGATATGCAGTTGACCTAGTTGTGTGCTGTGCATTAGGTGTTGATATGTATGACTGTGTGTTCCCAACCAGAACTGCCGTAAGTATTCCAGAGTAAATACGTAGACCACAACATCTGCTCCCTTTAATTAAGCAAAAGAAACGTTGACCCTCTCTGTGTGAAATTCTTGTGGGATACCATTAGAGTGTTCCACAAGGCCTTTGTAGGTTACATCTCATTGTTCATGTACCCCACAAACTATCATAAACACGCCCTTCACAAACCACTCTCTGCTTTGGCAAGGGACTGAAATAAGTCCTTTTGAAGCAGCAGAACTACTGATCCCCTGGATTGATTCCTTAATCCCTTTGAATACCAGTTGCATGTTGCGTCTAATCTGCTCCTTAGCTGTAAACAATCATCAGGTCAGTGTCTGTCCTCATAAACCTTTTACTCTGAGTTGCTCTTTTATTGATTGGTCTGTCTAGACTTTGTAATTAAAGACTTTTACATTCAACAACGTACATCTTTGGGGTAAAATATTGAAAAGTTTTGTCAGCCCTTTGTTCCTGTTCTTTGCAGTTGTTTCAAGTTATCAATGTGTAATAAAAACTGGTTGTCAGGTCATTTGCAGTGTCTTTCATATCAAAAGAACAACAGACTTAGTTTCCTTTTAATTTTTCTGTGTCAGCGATTTGGCTCGGCCCTCATCAAGACCGGCCAACTCCACTTGAGTCAGAAGCGATACGCCACAGACTTTCGTCCAATAGACGAGAACTGTGAGTGTTCCACCTGTCGGCAGCACACCAGGGCCTACCTCAGCACCATAGCTGGACGAGAGAGTGTGGCCTGCCAGCTGATCAGTGTGCACAACGTCAAATTCCAAGTACGTGTCGAAGAGTTCTGTCATACTGATATGATTTGATTTGTTCTGATTTCGTCCCAGTCCCAGTCCTGTTTCAATTTGTTTTATTAAATTTTCTCCTTTCCTTGACAAAATTCTCACAGCGAAAAAATGAATGAAAATCTTGCGAAATAATTTTTTTCTGGCTAAAGCCAGTATCTCAGCAAAGCAATTGTTTGTATAATTAAATCATGTGACTTTCAGAACTGAGCTGGTAAATCACAAACACTACAGTATAAGTTCGCTGGGTTCGAGTCCAATCAAAGCACAGTCAGTATGTCTTATTCATAACCTTTCCAGATGGACCTGATGAGGGATATACGACAGGCAATCCTGGAGGACCGTTACCCGGCTTTCATCAAGGACTACATGAGGACTGTCTACCCTAGTGAGGATTATCCATCGTGGCTACGAGACTCCTTAGCATCCGTCAATGTTGACCTTAATAGCTGACGACAGTGGACAACGAATTAGTATTTTATTTTGAAAGCAAAATTTTAAATCAAAAGGGGTTCTTTTTTAAATTGGCATCAATGTTGACAAACTTCACCTGGAGCCAGTCATTCTTCTTCCATTCAGTTCTTAAAGCGGTTTGATGCCAATTTTACTCCATCCCTTCGTCATTTAAAAATATGCTTCTGAAACTTACCTTCTACTTGAGTTCTGAACAGGTTGAAAAATCCTCCAATTTTGCTTCCCTCACTGTTACTTTTAGGTTCACCTACCCCGTGCATATGATTAGAACTCAAAATGCTTGAGAGCAGCGTGCACGATATTTTGTCAAGAGGCATTGGAGACGTTTTGGGTAAATCTAAAGCCCTTTTCATTATGTCAAGTTAGGCTATATTGAGGATTAATGTTAAACTTCTCAGGTGATTCTGATGTGTTTTTAGCTGGTGTAAATTTATTCAAACCGCACTGCAAGGTCAAGATGCTGAATTGTTGTTTTTGGCAGAAGAAAGTTCACACATGCACACTCACAAGACCCTTTAGGCTACTGTTTTATCTTTGGAGAATGTATCATCTTGTTTCTTCTTGGGACTTTTTACTTTTCCCTGCGACAAGTTACTTGATTATTTTTATTCATATAAAAATCTGCACGGTTTGTAATCAAAGTAAACAAATGTATTCATTTGTATTTTTGTAAATCTGAAAACAGAAAGCCTTTTTAGATTTCCAGAAATAGCTTAGAATCGAGCATTCATTCCTGGTATTCTGAAGTAAATGCCACAACACTTTGTAATTGATTACACGCCAACTTTGTTTTCCAGTTTCCCTCAGCAACTTTGCGCTCAGGCTAGGTGTAAAAAATAAGAGCATGTAGATAGAGGCTTATAACCAAAGTTTGTAATTTCGCTTGCCCGTTTTGTTCGTAAGTGGAGAAATATGGAGTTGGAATCTGTGCTCAACGTATAATTGATAGAATTACCATACCACGCAGGGTATAGCTTTTTGTGACCTCCCAGTGAGGGCTTTACATTAACAAAAGGCCTTTCTTATCCTATTTTTCAATGGGGATAACAAATAATAGTCAGCAGTGTTCGGGGTAAGGATAGCTACCCATTCACGCAACGAGAAGGGGTCACGTTTGTGACATGGCAACAACATGCCCGCTGTGTTTCCCACGTGAAGTGTCCGCTCTGTGGATCGTGGTTTTAACGATTACAATAACATTTCATTGATTAGTTTGAGTTCGCGTCCAAGCTGCAATGGACACACCAATGACAAGATTAGCCAAAGATGTGTGGTTGGTTCCCAAGCAATTGACTCAAACCGCCAAACGAACCGTCTTTGGCCCGCTGTTCTGGGCAGTGATCTAATTCTGTTTCGATGTCCGGGAGTTGCGATAAACGCGAGGGGAATTTTTAGCAGTCGTTTAAGGAGGACACAACCCGAAGCTTCTCGCATACCTTTGTCGACAACTACATGAACTGTACCTTCAGGAAACTGATGCAATCAAGCTTCAACGTGGATCAACCGGGGTAACAGCCAAGACGAATAAAATATGCCCACGGCGGTACAAGAATGCACCAACATTTGAGGGGATTCAGTTTACACCAACATTCTTAATGAAATGGACCAAAAGAGGGTTGATCATCTTCGCTTCGTTGCGTTGTGCGAATAGGTTCTCTCTCTTAAAGCGGATCTACAGTGAAAATCTCGAGGCCCTTTCAAAGCCGCATTAGGTTTAAAAGACTGAAGAATCTTTTCGATCACCCGTGCCGCCATGTTTTGTGTTGAGTCGACTTTCAAGCTAATTGTCTTGATACAATCAGATTAGAAGATATGATCCTTACCAATTAATACCATTTCAGAAACGTTTGAGAAATGAAATTTGAACGTGTGTGGATCAATAACCTAGGAACCGACTAGACTGTTTGGAATTACAGTGGATGTAAAACAAAGTTACCATGGGATCCAGTCCGTCCAAAAACAAGAACAACAAAAAAGTCGCCAATGTGATGACGTGAGTATTACTTCAGTCAATTTTGAGGATTTCTGGAAAGACTCACGCAGTGCCCAAGGGCCTGCAGTTTAAAATACACAATTTATCTTTCTTGCTTCAGAATATAGGCCTATTTGACATTCTCAAGAAAAAAATCGCACGAGTATAGACACCCAGCATATCTTTGGGTAATTAGTTACAAATTATCTCCTAATGAAACACCAATCCGTCAAGCATGAGAAAAATGTTTAGTAATTAAAGTTTAATTGGATATTACGTAACGACGACACACATCAGGCGAGCAAAACGTTTACTGGTTTAGAGGTGTTTAATCAGTGTGTGATTATCGTTGCCTCGTATAAAATTCGCGGGGCCTTTTTTTATCAATAATGTCTGATATGTAATGAAAGTGTTGAGAAGCTTTAGACATTTGAAATTCTTGGAGATATGGTAAAGTTCTTTACGTAATTCTGAAGCAGATCATGACTTGCATATCTTCAAAGATGATTTATGTGTAATTTATACTTTCAAAAAAGGTAGAGGCTCTTGCGTTAAGATCCTACGTGAATATTACTCCGAGAATGCTAAGATGGAAACCCAGAACTATTTGCATAGTTCAGCTCAGCTGTAGTCAGCAAACAGTTTGCAGATGTTTTTGCATTTTATAATTGCTTTCATGAAAACAGTTTATTTTCCCTGCTGTTTACTTTGTCTATATTTCCTGACTTACAGATGAGTTTAAAACGCAATGAAATATTGTGTAAAATTGTCTAACTTACAATACCCATTGGCAAGAACTTGCTTCAAGGCTGCTTTACCTTGCATGTCTTATATACAGTGCAACATTCGCATTCGATGATGCGGTCAACAGAGCAGCAGAACGGCGAAGACGCGAGGAGGGGGAATTCGAAAAGACGGGCGACAGACTTGCAAGTGGAAAAGGTAACTGGGTGTTTCAGTTGAATAAAAGTGTGTGGGGAGGCAATGGCAATTTCCGCAATTGCTATCAAGAGACTTTGCCGCAAAACAGTCCTCTACTTGCACCACCAGTCAACCGACAAATGAACCAAAATAAATGATTGGTCTCGTTTTTATGTTCGCTCATAATCCAACTCTCCGACATAAAAGGCCAGATTTCACATACTCCAACCAGGACTTATTGCAAGTCACCAGAGACGAAGTGTCACTGAATGGGAAAGTAACATCATCTTTTCACACAACACAATTTGAGTTTTAAGAAGAAATAATCGATTCTCATCGCATGGTAAGCTTGACGTATAAGTGTCGCAAGGACTTTCTGCGGCGTAAGCACATTATCAGCAGCAAATTGACAAACCATTAGGCCTAACAACTGAGGGTAAATTTCGAAAGAATTAGTGATTGATTTTTCACACCAATTTCTCTCTTTTTCATTTTCTTTCACATTTTTCCACACCTCCCCCCTCTATTTTACTTTTCACCCCCCCGGACTTTAAAATAAAGATTTCACGGCAACAGGTCTGTATTCTTAGTCACTGCTCAGTAAATTAAGTTATCGGCATAACAGTTAGGTGCTGAACATTATATATTAGTAATTTTATCCCTGAACACGTAGATTGGGTTCCATACTTCGAGGATCTAGATTCAATTCTCAGTAACTGGTACAGACTAGGGCCGGCGCTGTAGTTGCATGCATCTTTACTTACCGTGGTCACTAACATAAATGAAAGCCGACAGGTATCGATTTCTATGTATTGAGAGTGATTGTTGTGTACACTATTACCGCTTGATGGGTCACCGAGCAAATAAAACTCGATCTCACTCCACATGAAAAAAAGGGGGGGAAAAGACAAACATGTAGGCATGTACGGGAATAGAGCTGAAGCCAAAGGCGTTTCATTTATCGTTCCAGAGCGGAAAATTCTGAGAGCTGCGTTGTCAACAATCAGTCGAGATCAGATCACATTCGAGTGAAAAGGTCTGTCATCCTAAAAATGTGCCCATAATTAAACTGCCTGCGTGCGCGTGGGCACAAGACTCAATGTAATAGCATTTATCTTGGCAGATTTAAAAATTCAAGCATGTTGTAACAGAGTGATTGTATGATGCTCCGTCATGGAGAGAAGACTATTGCTCTAGTGTGATGGGCCTGGGGTAGACGCTTCGTACTTTTATTGTCACATAATTTAAAAACAAAACTTGCTCTCAATATGGTGCACTGTGCGATCATATCTGTGAATATTAATCAGATTGGATATGAAGAACTTAAAAAAAATTGATTTTGTTAACAAACATTATTATCCCCCTAAAATTATATTTTATGGTCATGATTTGGTTACAATTGATGCCTTTTACAGAGGAACCCTTGCAGACCAATGGGGTCGTCAAAACGGCAGAGCAGGAGATGGAAGAGGGCGCTATTAGCAGTGAGGAGGATGAACTGATGCTGAGCCATGCCTCCGTCAAGATTCAAAGGTAAAACACTGGAGATGACGATTATATAGCGAGAGAAGAGCCAATGCCATCACGGGTTTACGTTATAGCCAACTCTTCACGAAATAGCTCTCCCACCACGAGAATAACTAAACATAGAATTTTAACTTTCCTGATAATTCATAAAAATATCAACGACTGAAGAGTAAGTACCGCAAGATTATGAAAATCTCATGAAAAGGAAATACCTGATCCTAAACGAGAGTGTCTCAAAACTTTGTTGACAATGATGATAAACTTTCAGCGTTGCACTTTTTTGCACACAAGTCACAGTGATGAAGATCGAACAATCGCACCTGTGTTTTGAATGCCACCAGAACAGGTTCGTGGAAATGTGCTTACAAGAAGCAACAAGAAATATTTTGCTTGAATTGAATAATGTATCACTGTTCATACTGTTGCCAGATATACTGGCGCCTACAGCTCCTCAGGCAAAACCGACAGATGATTCTGTCGATATATCAGGAAACGGACTTCAATCATCACACGTTTCAACATAAGCTAGGGCATATCCCTCTTATAATCGAAATCAACTCGACATTGTCGTTAGTTTGACGACTACAGAAGGCACGATAACTCACTGTCAGAAATGATTCAAACCAGGAAATTAATAACCTCGGTAAGCAGAATGGCAAATTCGGTAGGCTACGAGGAACATAAAAGCCAACAGTCTCTAATTCAACGAGCTGCGGGAAAGTGACGCACTATCACACAGTGCCAAGAGTAGATGCAGTAGTCTTCAAACAAGTCGGTGTTAAACCTAAGGCCAAGGTTTCTCGAACATGGATGAGAGTTAAGTACAGCGAATATAATACATATACATCTGCACTACCCCATTTGCATACATGTGCATTTAAAGCTCTGTAAAACCATACCGTTGCAAGCCAATCCCGTAAATCTAGAGTGAATTGATATTCTTTAAGGCGAAGTGTTTCTGCGGTAATTCTTGATACATGTACATGTAATGAGTTTTCAGAGGAGTAACTTGGAGGTGTTTCTTTACAGTGTGTTCCGTGGATACAAGGAGAGGAAACTCAGGAAGCAGGAGACGGAGATGGCTATCAAGATACAGAGGTGAGTAAAACCACAAGTCAGTGAAAATTATGGAATGATAGATCCATGCATAATCATGCAGTCATTCTCTGGGGGTCATTCTTACCTGCGGAAGAGCAAAAGAAGACCAAGCGTAAATGGCTTTATCGGTTGGTGACCGATTGCAAGCTGCGTTTTGCCTCGTCAGTGTTATATGAAAAATGATTGAATTCATTTTGTTTTTACTAAAGTCGCCGAAATTTCTAATCAGCCACACTGAACACGCAGTGGAAAGAAACATATTTACACGGATATTGTCTGAAAACGTTGATATACCGAGCTTTTTCGTGTACATGTATACGTACATTTTGAAATGTGCAGGATTTATCGCCGTCATTCGTCCATCAAAAAGGCTCTGTCAGAGGAAGAGACAGACGCAACACCCGTGGAGCCCGAAGCAGCGCCCGTCGTACAAGAACCATTACCAGCTTGTCCCGAAGAGCAACCAAAAAGTAAGCCCCAAACGGAAAAAGACAGAAAAAGAACTTTTATTTGGATCTCACTCGAATAAAATTCGAAGGAAAATGTTTTTAATCGTCTAACCAGGTAAACCTTGAAAAAGCAACCACTCCCTGAATTTCCCGAGGTAAAATTCAATTGAATGAAACATAATGGTTCCTTTTAATTCACAACATTGAAAAAGGGCTTGCTTGCCTAACTGTCACTATTGGAAAAAATTAAAACCAGTTATCCCTTACAAATGCTATGGAAATTAGTTTGCCGTGAATTTTAATTGGTATCAGCTGCAGGGTGAGTTTCCAGATGGAATGATTACATGAAAAAAATGAACGACAATTTTCTTTCGTTTGACAGCGTCCGAGGAGAAAGTAGACCCGATACTCAGCCGAGACCAGTTGAGTTCACAGTCAAAGGCTGTGACCAAAAAACACTTGGTTGGAGTTGGTAAGAAAACACCTAACCTTTGTTAGAGTAGGGCCCTGACCTTTTTATTCTACTTAATACAAAAATAACGGTTTATAGTTTATTATGTATGCGCATATGTTAGTTGGTTTCTCCCAAAATGATTTTGCAGGGGTTGGATCAACAGCATGCCACACCCTGCATTTCAATGTTTTTTTTTTTTTTCATTTTTACAAACTCCGTCCCTCAACTGCCACAGGAGAAAAGACGAAAGAGGAATTTTTGGCGTTCCAGGATGAGATCACGGAGTTGAAATGGTATGCAGAGCAGCAGCTGGAGAGGGCGCTATGTGGCCATGAGTTCGTCGGACCACGGATAGTCGTAAGTGAATCAACAGACTTTACAAAAAAACCTTATCCATTTGAGAGGACCGTGTTAATCAGTCTGTTTGTGTGTGTGTGTGTGAAACTGTTAACATTTGAAATTTTTGGTACTTGATGTTGGAGTAAATGGGAAGCATTTTGAAGCTTTTTAAAAAGTTTTATAGGGAATGTTTGTTTGGAATGTGTTAAGTTTGTTCTACAAATCCTTCCACAGAACAAAGGCCATCACTCAACAGTTACTTTTACATTCCATTTCAGCTGGTTTCGTCCAAGATACCAAAAGGACAACTTCTTGCTAAGATTGTCAGAAAAGATGTGCTGATATTTGTCTACGTAAGTTAAAATAGAAGGGGCTAGTAGCTTGAAGTTCTGAATGCACCGTATCCTCATTTACCGTAAGCTTAATCGAACCATAAAAAGTGTACGCACATCAGTGAGAATTTTTATCGAAAAGACTATAAACGATGAAATGAAATGTTTCATTATTTTGTTGTAAACTAAAACGAAAAATACTTTTTTCTTTCTTTGCAGGATTTCAACAATGATTCCTTCGACGTGTTACTAGGCAAGTTCCCCCCCCCTTAAAACATTATACTCTTTGTGGAAGTGATACGTCACTTTTCTGTATCTGGCTGTTCAGGTTATTTCAAATGTAGTATAAGAATAGGCGTTGCCACTACTTCCATCGGTCTTATGTGTATCTTAAAGTATCATGTATCTCATTGCAGAAAACATCCGGGTGAATCTCGAGGCTTTCAAGCAAGGCTGCAAGGCGCGATCCATCTGCCTTTACTGTCAGGTACACAGAAATTTTCGTCCAATGAAAAAAAAATACATCAGAGAAATATGGAAGGGCTGCGCACTACCGTGATCAGAATATTGACAAGAATATGATATCATATCAGTGCTCTGAAACATGTAATTGTCGAGCTTTCGGTAACTGAGTACCTTCTTCAGGGCAAGTGAATACAAAAGATGCATTGTTGCGTTTCAATTTTACAAACGGAAACTAACGAACTACATTCTGAACCTACTATAACTAATTAATTTAAAGCATCAATAATGACCACTTTAGTGATATCTTTTATAACTGAATGTCCATCGAAATCTATAAGATTTTGTTAGTCGACGAAGAAAGGTCTAATCTGCTTAATATAAGCCTACATTGAATACAGTGGGCCTAAATGCGGCCAACTGAACCTACTTCTTCTTATGTCAAATCTCTGAAACAACAGCAATATTTTGAATAAGCCATTTGCGAGTTAAATTCAAATAAAATCTGGTACACTGAGTTCTTCAAATTCACATGAACATAACAACTTGAATTCTTCAAACTAAAACCACTTTTGTTACACCTTAGTGATTCGGGCAAGCTTTTGCTCAGTTATGTAAGAGACGCCTTGCAATAATACACTGTTCTCAATGGATAAGAAAGGCACAAAGGAAGCAGTCCATTTTAGAGATGGTGGTCGCTATGCAAAAGCTTGCCCCGAATCACGAGGTATAGCAACAGTGTCTTTAGTCTGGAGAATTCAAATTGTAACGTTTCTGTTCAATCAGATAACACAGTGTACCAGATTTTATTCAAATTCAACTCGCAAGTGACTTCTTACTTATTACCTCGACATTTTCACAGGTTGACATTTGTCTATTTTGTCTTTCTCTTTTGGTGGCAGGGCGGACCTGGTTATATGTACATACGGAGAGCAAAGGTGGTGACGGTGGCTAAACTTAAAAAAGACTGTGAACAAGACCAAGTCAGGTACATTCAAATTCTAATTCCTAACACTTTTCCTATACATCTAAGGGTTTTGCTGAAAGACAGAAGATGGAAAAATCGTCACGCAGTGTTCACTGATCTCAGGCTAGGCCTATAGATCTATAAAGCAAGACAGACACAAGTGCTCCTTTTGTCTTGACTATCATGGTTCTTTTTTTTCGGCGACCAACAGGTTCTTCAAAGAGTTGGGCAAGTATTTGACCAAGAAAGAACCACAGAGGTCGGTCATTCATGTCATGGGATGTAACATCCTTGGGAACGAGAAAGGCCAGGAGGTTTGTGCGACATTCGTGAAAATTTCTCAGTAGGCTACAAAATATCGTAAGAAATAAGTGATTTGGGGAATGAAACTCAAAAAGGACAAGAACGATCCAGTACAGCTGACCACAGATGTCGGATACAAAGCAAAATCACAGATGAAATGAAAGCTAGCCCTAGAAGGTATTTCACACTTTTAGCCCCGATCATCGCTTCGTTTTCAATTTTGAAATGGACGACAAATGTCCAAATATCAGAGGTTGCTTACCGTATTACATGTCCAGAAGGATATCATTGGTCGTATTTTCAGCTGCTGTACATATCCTGTGGTGTCGGTAATATAGGCCTATTCATAATATATAGACGCATTAGGTACACGAACCACGTGGTTGCAAGGAACAATGATATCATCAAATTCCCGCCAAAAATGACGTACAGAATGTTGTTAGCCTTCACGTTACTCATAACTTCCGGCTGAATTTGTCGTAACATGAGTGGACAATTCTGGACCAAAAGACTTCCAGTTGCACGTTATCACCACTGGACGTTCCTGAAGGATTTCAATATTCCTTTGTGCCTTTCGGTTTTTTCGAACTCTGTGAAAAGATCCGTGTGGGGAATGTGGTGCATCCATTTTTGTAGAGGGCGCTTGCCGTACGGGCGGCAGAGCTCTGAGTGTGCAACAGGGCCGCATACGGGGTTACGGAAATTGGGTTTCAGATTTTTTTCTTACGGTTTATGTTAACTTTCTTACCGAGATGACGAATTCACAATACAGTACCAAAGGCCAGAATTATGGAACTACCTAATTGTTAATTTTTCTCTTCAGCTTTTTGATTACCTACGGGATTTGATAAAGCCCAACCAGGCACGTTTTGAAGCCCCACTTGAGCTCTCAGAAGCTGGTAAGACATCCCACGTTTGTAACGATATACCATCAGAAGGTCTAGACATTTGCGACTATTCGATTTCCTCGCCAGACTCGACAAAACGACATGTAAATAGCGGTATTTGATGCCTTCAGCAAACCTTCATTTGACTAATGATATCATTGTATGAGTTAAGTTTGTTTGTGAGGAAAAAAATTCACAGAAAAAAAAAAACACTTGTTTCAATATTGTTTCATTCATATTTACTTTACCGTTTTGAGACAGTCCTTAAAACCCAACGTATTTATCATTTAATAAAAGACTAACCATGTCCTTGGGCAGATCAGATAGAGAATGGACGCTGATTAATATCCTTTGCTTTCGGCTCAGGCCATTAATCAGCGTTCATTCTCCTGATGAAGCCATTCCAGAACGGTGGCGTTAATTTTCATAACACAGTAATTGACTCAATTGTTCTGTTGTCTCTTCTTTCGCTACTTGGCACGGTGATGCTCTTGATTTTATCTGATAAAACCTCGGACTTTGTTCGTGTCGCCCTTCAAAAATTCCAGTCTTGGCAAACAATTTAGTAATGCATATCACTGTAACTGTACTACACACAGAGTTACACATTTTATACATGTACAGTATACGCGTATTAACGGTATCTTGTATACCTGCATGCATCATACGTGCATTGTACAGTGCACCAGAAAATTGCACTGACTGGAAAAACGAACAGACTTTTATCTCATGATTTGGAAAAATGTTCATGTCACTGGTCATAAATACATAACCACGTAAAGGGGTCATGTTCATTTATTGTTACAATCTCTAGATCTCTTGGAAATCGTGTGTCACCTCGTGGAAATTAATTTGTATGGTGAAATAGCCGACTGTACGTGGATGTTTGACAGGGTTACTCTGTTCGAACATATGAAAAGCACTGCCTTGTGTATGCATACTTCAAAACATGAAAAATTAACAAAATGTAGCGGTGCTACTTTTAATAACTATGCAGCTTTCCAACTAAATTAATTTTTTTCTGCATCTTTTCTTGACAGGCGCAGATATGATTGACATGTATTTTGACTTCAATAAATACACCGTGTGGAGAGCTCACAAACATTCAAAGCTGGACCCTGAATTATGAGACATGACATCGGATCAGATGTTTCAGAACTCGTCCCTCATCTTCGAGCATTTATACTGGAGGAAAAATGATATTCACGATTTAAAGAGCTCACAGTTGTAAGCTAATGGATGGTAGGATGTCCAAGTTAAAAGGATACCACCACAAAGGGTATATATGAAACCAGAATGGGGGAAGAGCATGGTTTTATATTGTGAATGAAATTGGCTTCCTTGGTGACTTCAGATTAGGTTGGACGGAGTAAAAACCCTGCTTACCCGAGCTATACTGCATACCTGTACACATCATTTTTCTGTGATGGAATACAGAACCGAGCCAACACTTTCTGCGGGGTGTACAGGCTGATTCATACGTGGCGTGAAAGCAACTTCAAAATTGACACATCGGATCAAATGTTCATACAGGAAATTTGAAAAAAAGTTGAATGCATTTCAACTTGACTGAACCCAGCTGCAGTTGCTTTGTGACGTCAAATTTGCTTCGCTTTCATGTCCACTTGAAACATCAGCCTTTACACTATTGGTGACAAATTTGTGGAAAAGTGTAAAGTTCTGCGCAATTTGGAAATCTGAAATACAACCCTAGCGCACTTTGGGCTAACATACACAGCCACGCAACACAGTGCATGTTCTTTGCGGTAGAATAAAACGGATGCAAAGAGCACTAAAATGCTCCAATGTTTAAGGGTACACTGTGTATACCTGTACTTTGTTCAAAATTGTATTAAAATTCTATTTATGCGTGTTGTGGTTGTAATTTTACAGTTGAAATAAAATTGAGTGAAACACGGAAAGTCGATGTCTGCAAACCTACCTGATTTCTCGTTGTTGACCACTTCGCAAGTAAAGCAAGCTGAACAAAATCAATTTCATATGTTCTCAGCACCGAGCCATATTTATTTTATGAAATGAAGTTTTGGTCAACTGAGTAGTCACAAAAACTCCAATAAAGATGCATAACAACGTGTATACTTAATCTCTGCTATAACCTTGGCAACTGAGGAATGCAAGTCAAGAGGAAACAATATATTTTGACCCTGTACAGTGTGAAAGGAAAATAACACCAGGCTGCAGAACTTGGTGATAAAACCCATTTGTTTTTCAAAAATGTCTACTGGTAACTAGACAAGTTGACTTTTACAGAACAATTTAAGATGGACCGTGACGAGAACACTTTCACAGGATAAATCAAAGTTAGTCTAAATCCACATGACTTTGTGGTTTAATTCAATATTTAGGTTACTTGTTGCTGATTTAGATCTTGTAATCACATCAAATCATTTCAATGAAAGTAATTTACTGGGAAATGTCTATCATTTTCATTGAAGTACTGTTTAAAAAATACATCCTGCATAGGCAAACACTCACCTCAACTTCAGTATGCTTTGGTAACAATTACTAACTTTGCAAGATTTCTCTTGAAGTGTTATAGCTCTCATGCTTTAAATCACTGAAATCAAGCTGGCTAGAAATTAGCTGTGCTGTGGTTATAATTTACAAAAATATATAGAAATACGATTACATGTGTGTAGAGGCAACAGTACCATGCTAGAGAAATCTTAATGATCTACCAAAAAAAAAACCACCACAAGTTCATCTGAACGTTATCATACATTAGTAACTAAACTTGTATTAATCACACATGATGAGAATATATATGTGACAGATTTTCAGACACTTCACAGAAATTAGCGATGACCTCGGAGACAAAACATTTGGTGGGACTGCAATGCAGCCTCGAAAATAGTGACCCAACTCATTTGTAATACATCATGGACCCTGTCTTTACTGGGCTGGAGTCCTGGGACACTCCATTACGGCTGAGGGGTGATTCGAAGGTAGCTCTTGCCCGAGGGGACTGGTTTCACTGTCACCCCCTTGGGGAAGAGTTGAGCCACCTCCTCTTGTTTCACAGAAGGTATGACCATGCAATCTCCGCCTTCCTGCAAGAGTTAATGAAAAACATTGGAATGATCAGGTATAAATATGTCCTGCGGGCTANAAACACCCATATGGGACTTTGTGCACAGAGGCCGTTGGACTTGGTTTTTCTGAGGTATGCCAAACCTAATGCAAAAGCCAGCTGTTATGGGCCTACCAGACCTATCCCCACAGAATTAAACACTTTACTACTGTTTAATTCTGTGTGGTTGGGGAAGGTTTGGGTTAACCTCATTTTTTTCATAGGAAGGCATTTCAAAGACCCCATTTGTTATCCTCTGTGTTGACCTCAGAGTTCTAGTTGTCAGCTTTATCAAATTTTGTTTGTTGCATAAGACAAGTCCAGGTGTACACATTAATTACAACATTAACCGGATAACCCGACTTTTTCATATAATCCCAATATTACACTACTCCTGATAGTGACTACAGTGCAGAAATTTCACCAGTCGTGTCCAAACGAAGTAAGCATGTAGATATTGACCAAATCAGAGCTCCGCTTACCCAATGCACTATGTACTCTATGATAATCCCCTTAACCTCAAACTATTTACAGTTGGCCCCTCAAATTGTCCACTTTAAGATGATGTGCAAACAGTGGCATAATATTCAAAGGCAAGCTCAGTAAACCGTAGAACACTGAGCTTTATCAAAAGCCTTTTCTACAACTTTTTCCAAAGTTTTGCAAATTTTTAAAAACAGTGTTGAAAACCAAAGTGTGTTCTGCACCAATAAACTAGGCAACAAACCTCTTATGTAACTTTTGGTAACAGTATCAACCACCACATATCCAGTGCTGTGGGCCAACAATGCCTTTTCAATCATCAAACTTCATGTCTTCCGGATGATGAGGACTTCAAGGATCTACACAATACACAATCTTTTTTTCATGCAACCCTTGCGTCACAAATGTATTTCCATTGTCTGTTTTGGTATTTCACAGGGTAATGTGGTTTTTGCGCCAATGAGTTTTCCATATTTATGGCAAAACTGTGATGTCATATTTGGAAGAAAACTGCAGCATGGGACATTATGGATACAATCAGTGTGGCTGTGTGGAGGGCATCTTACCTTCCAGTCAACAGGTGTGGCCACCTTCTTGGTAGCAGTCAGCTGCAGGGAATCCACGACACGCAGAATCTCACTGCAGAATAGAGAGGAAGTTGTTCTTTGTCATAAAAACCCCTAGACCCACGTACCTACTGCCCATCTGTGATCATTGTACTAAACCTAATTACATCAGGGTTCCCAGCATTTCACGAGAACAAAATTCCCTAATTTTTCCCTGACGATTTTAACAAACACTCATGGAAAATTATTCAATACATTTCCACTTTGACATATCTTTTAATGTTTTTTCGCAGTTTAAAGACAGACCACTACCTTTTGGGCTAAAACAATTTCCAGACATTTCTTCCAATCGAGGCACTCTTCTCAAACTCCCTGACTAGAAAAAGGGAAACTCATTTTCCAGGGTTTCGCTGAAGGGGGTTAACCTAGGCTTTTTTGGGGGGGGGAGGAAAGCAAGCATTTTCTGTGCAAAGTAAACCTGTGTGCTTCAGAGCATCTTGTTCATTTGTTACACATATTTTTACTTACTCAAAGTTGCGGCCAGTGGTGGCGGGATACAGAATGGACAGCTTGAGTTTCTTGTCAGGTCCAATGATGAACACCTGACAAATGCAAGCGTAAAGATTTGACCACAATCATTCAGCTGGCCAATGTACTGTTTAAATGTGAACGCAACTTCCAAGCATCTTTGCGTGAGCATGAAATGGACCAAGGCCCGTCAGATTACAGATGATACGGTATAAAGAGCACAATGTGCTGATGGATACTTGGCGGGAATTGGCTTGAGCGACTTACGCAGCGTGCGGTCAGGGGCATGCCAGCCTTGTCTCTCTCATCTGGGTCCAGCATGCCGAATTTGACGGCCAGGTCACGGTTGTCAGCAATGATGGGGAATGGGAATTCCCCGCTCTGGCCGCTGTAGGACTGGATGTCCTGTGGATAAGTGAAGGCACGCAGGAATGTAACAGGAATCTTTTAGGAGCATGAAGACATTAAGAGGATTTGTGGTGTTCGGCTATGTTGGCTAAGGCCCTGTCTAAAAGTTATAGCTGCGGTTAGAGTAACACACGAGCCTATGGAAGCCAGTAAGTAGTGGCTACAGCCACTTTCCATAGTGAAATATGTACCATTTCAAGCCACTGCAAACGGCAATACAGTTTGGCAACTGTCAAGGATGCTGCTCTGTGTCATAATACAGGTATAAAGGCAGATGTGGCTACTGATGTTTTCTGTGTCTCTGTACATGTTATCTACACAGACCAGTTTAGACAAGTCCAAACTAAGTATTCTCACTACACACAAGGTACTACATGCATGCAGTCCCAACTGATTTCTGTTTCAATCTGAAAAATCATAGTTGACCAAAATTGGGCATTTTCAAAGCTGAGAAATCTTGTTCTCGTTTCTGGTCTCTAAATTGCTACAACTGTTCCATTCTGTCCACATAAGGTGAAAATCACTCATGCATGCATGTACGGTATGTAACAGCGGCTGTTATGTGAACTAATGCACTGACAATGCCAAGGTTATGCAAACTCATTAAAAAAATTACTAGACAGAGCGTTTAGAATCCGTTCAAGTCTCAAGCTTTGAAGAAATTCCTAAAGCTTCATTCATCCCGTTTGGCTGATTTGTTGTACATGTACTTTTTTCCCAAGTGCAATGACCAGTTAATAACAGGCACTTTGGTAGATGTACAATACTATCACAATACATGTACATGACACCAAGTTCCTTCATCAATGGCCAATTTGTTTTCCTTTGTCAATGAAGGGAGATTGTCGGCAATCCACTCACTGCGAAGTTGACTATGACCACAACAATCTAAACACCATAATTGGATTACTTTGCAGCATTATTAAGCCTTGGAAGGATAGAAGCTTCATTCTGTGACGATTTTGATGGTCTCCTAGAAATTTTTCAGCAATTATGAGGCCTTTATGAAAATTGTTTACTTAATTGAATTAAATTCTGCGTTAAAAAGAAATTCCAGTTGTATTGGATCGAGGAGAGCTCTGCAGTGCCAAGGATACAGTAGGTTTTCATGTCCCTACATGAAAGTAGAAAACTGAATTCAGTTTCCTCATTTTCAAATGCAGAACACTTTTTGAATCACCGACCAAAAACCAAACAGTTAAAATCAAGCCTCTGAGGATGAGACCCATTCCAATTCACCAAGATTTTTATGTACCAAACTCCAACAGTTTCAGCTACTTCAGTCATTCAACAACTGGAAAAGAAAATGCCACCCAAGTCTTACCCGTTTACAGCTAAAATACTTTCCCAAGGACATTAAGAATCCATATGTCAACAGAGATGGGTGCAGCTTTTCCATGGGATACAATTGACAAAGACCACATTAACAATGGCAAAAAGCCCAGGTGTGTTGCCTCAGCGAGTTCTGCATTGACATGCACGTATGGCTGCATTGGCAACGCATCTCCCATGGACTGAATCAGTCAGCATTTCGTGGCACTGGTAGACATATTATGCTGTGCAAGTAACCTGCAACAGTGTGGGATCATTCGGGCATACACTGTACATGTAGATCTTGCCTACCATGAATTCTCTGCAGTTTGAATGACATTTTCTCTTTCTGCTTGATCAAACTTAGAGACAGTGCTACGCTTGAAATTCATGGTGGGGAAATGGAACGGAATGTCCGCCCTAATACTACTGCGAAAGAGGGATTAAGTTATGCAATTAATCTTTCTCTTTCTTTGACCCAAAACCTATCCATTGTTTTGCTAAACTTATACTTTGTGGAAGAACTGAACTTTCTGTCAACTATGACTTTAGAAAGAATGGGGTTGCAATCAATTAATTACTTTCTCTTGTTTAGATACATACCGATTCAACATGTTGAGCTAGTGAAATCAACACTATAAGGTCCTGCATGCTTCCGGAATGATCAAGGATTCAATGATATAAATCTGTCTACATTGTATAACGTGCTGGAGCTAGGCAGAAATTTCTACATCAATCTCAAGTCCTTGATAAAACATGAAATACTGATTATCACTTGTATTTCATTTTTCACCTTAATCCATCCAACATGGCTATCAACATCATCCACAGAGAGAGCAATCATTTTGACGTTCCTCTTGGCGAATTCGCCGGCCAGGCTGGCAGCCCTGCTTAACTCTGTGGTGCAGACCGGGGTGTAGTCAGCAGGGTGGGAGAACAAGATGCCCCAGCTGAAATAGAGGGAGTGCAGCTTGAGTTTATTCAATGGTTCCTTGCCACATTAAAGGAAAGATTACCGAGTACCAACGGCAAGGAGCACATGTATAGAATAGAAGGTGATAACATGGCCTCAAAAGTCAAATTTGGCAGGGAACATACGCAATCATTAACCCTAACCGCCAAGCATATTGTTTGGCCTACAGTACTCAGTACTACAAAATACTAAGTAATAGCCCGAGCCTGAAGGACCTAAGGCTACAAATTACTACTTCTGGCTAGGTTTACTTCCATTGTTACTTGTACAGAGAACAATAAAGCCATGCATTCATAGTGCCACAGCACTGTATGCTACATTGTCTTTTCTATTGTATTTTATGGCTCTTACAAGCGACAGCACTGACTACTACATTTTACTACAAGTAGTAATTTGTAGTATTATGTACATGTAGGGTTAGGGTTAACTTAGAAAACACTTAGAATTTTCAGACCAATTTCACAACATTTGTGCACAGGGTATCAAGTGATGTAGTGTCCATGCATGGAACTCTTTCCAAGGAAAACTCGTTGTGCAGTGGGATAGGGTTACTAGTGGCATTTTTCCAGTGTCCCTACATGTAAGTCGTCTTCCTACCACCTCCATGAAGGTAAATTATTGCAAAAATGTTACAAAAACATGAATCTGATATTGAGATAAAGGTGCCAGGATACAAGTTTTCCTTCACTCCACCCTCCATAAGAAGGTTTTACATTCCATAATTACTTTGAGGAGTAAGATGCTATTTCAAATGAAGTGGCGTCAGCATATTAAAATACGTAGCTAAACATTTCATGATGTTACTTATCACAATACATTACAAGATTAGGTTTTACAAAATAAAGTCAAATGACTACATTAATGAACAAGGTGAATGAACAATGTTAGGTGAAGGATGAGGCAAGACAGCTTTTATTCCCTAACCTTTGGAAAGACTAGCAAAAACTAAGGACATAAAAAAACAAAAGCATTACACAAGATTAACTATGGCGCAACTGTGGTGCAACATTCCATGCAGGCATAACCTTACTCAGTGAAAAGACTTCATAATGCTTACAAATGTTTTGCCAAGAACATATGCCATCATTAGTCACGGATGTAGGCCGCCAGTCTTAGCCCATTCATTGTAAATAATCATGCACTTAGCAGATACCACCTCCAAGGTGGGAAAATTCGTTACCTCATGCTTCCTACATGCTTCACCTGTGGTACACGATTAGGGTTCTGGCCTGGGCCTACAAGTTACGGCCATGCCCCAATAACAAAGTGGCTACAAATGCCAGGAGCTAGGACCCATGACACGTGCAATACGTAACACTAGGTACATACACATGCACGGACGGTATTTACCCAAACATGAGCGATTTACCTCTCTCCAAGCCATTCATGGAATTTGATTTTCCCCACGCTCGTTTCGGCCTCAAAGTTGGGGAAAGTGTCTCCAAGATTCACCATCTTGAACGAGTAAGGCTCAACAAACCGAATCTGTCTGTAGAAATGGTAGAAATTTGCTCGCAACACACACCCACCACACAAAGTAACAACTGCACACTTTGCTTCCGCACTCTATTAATCACGTGTACACGATTCGAATCTGCTGAGTCACCGTACCCCGTGAACGTGCGCGTGCGTGTGCGACGTGCCTGGTTAGCCTGCCAGGCCTGAACAACCTCCACCAACAAATCAATCGGAAATTTGCATGTGACACGACTCCTATTTAGTTGCCCGAAGAACTAGAAAAGGGGTGGTACATCTACACGTAACACTGATCGCTGCTTGGGTGTGGGCATGCATGCGACTGGCTGACGTCACCATTCTCCAAAGAAAAGTGGAGCCCTGAACTCCAGAAAACAATTGTCTGCTGCTTGAAATCAATTTTAATGAGGTTTCACGAAAAGCATAATGACAGAGCAGTAACATGTCACTTACTAGCACACACATGGCAATTAACACTCACAAATATTTACATCTTTTCTCGGCACAAGTTGATTCTCTCTGGCTCGACTGGAAAAATCGGACATCACAAGTACACGTGATTCAACTAAATGCCAACATTAAAAGCAGGCAAATTCCACACGAAATTATTCCGTCCGAGTCATTATCTGTCTAGGTTAACGTCTGTGAAGCATGTGGGACATCACTGATATGAATTACATCTGAATACAGATGGTGCATTTAATTCAGAGAGCAGTCAGTCATTCATCACTTGGTATACTTCAATGTCTGTCAACACACGTGCAAAAATTGTCTTAAACCGTAACTATTCTGATAAAATATAATACACTTTTTCAAGATGTTCCACATCCATCTAGAAATGAACATAAGAGTCTCTGGAGGATAAAATTACGCGCATTATTTAAATTTTAGGCGCGCTTACTATTATGCAAAAAAGTAAGCATCAAATTTTGTGCAAGATATAACATGGAACAATTGACACTCATTTCCCATGCATTTATTTCAGGCCAGCCTCAGCGCCCTAACAAATCTTACCTAAAAGATAAAAACATTACAGACAATATGACCATGCACCAACATTCTGTTAATCTGTTTGATAAAATTGGGAACTGGAGGAATGGACAGATGTTCAAAGCATGTCATAAACATCCAAGAAACCAACTACGTCATGTCACGGTACACTTATCTCCCTCTGGTTATATTCAAGATTTTATTTTCAGCTAGCTGAATAGAGAGCTTTTTTCTCCAATAAGGTTACGTTGTTGTACATGCACATATAGCTAGACAGGTCCATTAAGTACATATAATGCAAGATACATTGTATCTGAAATGGCATTAATTTAGTGAAAAGCTTAATAACTGATACCTTTATACTGTGCTACTAATACAATGCCTGGTAGCAGCATATTATGTTATGAAATTCAATGCCACCGTTAAGTAATATAGGTCTTCAAATAATACAAATTGTCAAGCGGAATCCAAGAATACTGAATGAACATTCCTTGTAAAAGACCTATCAGGATCCCACAAGTGACATCACTGATGTAATGGCGTCCTAAGCAAAGTCTTGAAGCAGCTATCCCAATTGTCCAGAGCAAGTACAAAGCCATTTGGAACATGGTAAGGTTCAGGTTTGCAATGAAGAAGTACGCCAACATGCCCACACGCGTACAGTGCCCAGAAGGAAAGGAGAACTTGTTGTCCACTGAAACTGCGAAGAACATGTCGTTCTGGTTGACTGGGGGCCGGGGTCGTCTGACAGCTGCTTTCAGAATGAAGCTGACTAAAAGATCTAAGAAAATACCTGCAACAATGGAGACAAAAAACAATTATTATAATACATGTTATATATAAATGGCATACCTAGTCAAATTTAAAGAAATTTCCAGCAAGCATATGTCCTTATGTTTGATAAATTTACAATTTTGAAATTTAACAACAGCATTGGACTGACTATAAACACAAAATAGGCTATGAATGACAAATAGGTCAAAATCACCCTGAACACTACCAATTACAGTGTACTTGTAATTTGAACAAAGCCTTATGTAAACAACAAAGCCTTATGTAAACAACAGGAGATGGCAATATTCCAATGGAAAATGCAATGTGTGGGAAAACATAATAAATGTGGTGTACATGTCATGTCAGGGGACGACCAACGATATCGATGTACATCAATTCATACAATGTACAGGTGTACATGTACCTGCCAACAAATTCAGCAAAAGCTCGTTCAGCCATTGGTCGTCAGAGTAGCACATAAGTGCCAAAGGAATGGAAATCCAAGGCACGCCATGGCCAGATATCTCTAGAAATTGGAAGAAGCATCTGAGGTAACCAATGGTACGGCTAGAGTCGGAAGAAGCACATATGCTACACTTCAGAGTAATCGTCTTGTCCAACTCGAGCAGGAGATGAACAAAATTGATGACCGGATTGGATTCCAAGTCATAACGGTTTTTACCGTCAGAATTCACAAGTTCAGAGTCCGCAGATTTCAATTTTCGTGATTTCAATTCAGAAACCATATTTTTAGTAGTATGTTCGACTCTCTACTTCGGAGCTCAGGCTGAGTGGAGATACATTCGAGAATGTAAGTTCAAGTAAGTCAAACATTAAACGTGGAAGTCGCCATCTTTAAAGAATATTTTCACCAAAAGGTGGCGCCCTTCAATAACCACGGCAGGGCCGGGCCAGGATCCTGTATTCTCGGCGTTCAAAGTGGACGCAATACGTCAGTTTTCTTGCTCATCGACACTGCTGTGAAAAAGCTGACTGGCCTTCCCAGTCATATTTAAACTTATGACTTTTAAGAATGTGTTCAAAATTGCTGAATCGTTTAAAAGTCATTAAATGACACATACAGGACTCCATCATTAGCTCTCTCATGCAACAACCTTCCGGTCATCTGCGTGCAAACACACACGCGGACGTACATGTACACGCAGTATCATGGTTTTGTGACGTCACAAGGTGAAATTGTCCACAAAAGCCCGCGCAGAGACAAGATAATGACCAGTACACGTGATTGGATGCTAAACAACGAAAACAAATCTGAAAACAGACAAAAAATAATTCAAACATAACACTTACTAGGTATCACAATAAATTTTGACCCTCGACCTTAGTCTTTCAAAACTTCTCCAGTACACGGATTTTTAAATTCCGCAGCTAGATTTTGATGAGTGGAAAGAAAGAATGTATTCCCTGGGAAGAAACAATATGGCCGATGAACGCGGGGATGATCGGCCGGCGGCAATGAATGCATGGTGCCAGGAATCAGATGAAGTGTCCTTCCAACTTACAGACTGGGAAGAGGAAGCCAACGGTAAGCCAGTGCAGGCGTCAAGTTGACCGGGTGTCAACGGTGTGAGCAAAACGCATTTTCGGACGAGCTGACAGGACAGCCAGCAATCTGGACAATTAGGAGGAGAATGACGAGTAACCAAGGACCTGCCAAAAATAAAATTACGGGGCATAATACTCTTCACAAAAAAAACTACACACGTGATGAAATATCCCTTTATTGAAAACAATATTAAGTAATTAAACAAATTGAAATAAGCCAGTTTTACAACCTGCTGGCCACTACGCCCATGGGAACTGAACCAACTATACAAGGAATATGACACCTGCAAAGAGTATGAAATAAGTCGTGTCTAAACAAGTGGGTATTGGATGGACTACTCATACGTGAGGTGTAAACAGACTTGTATGACTCGTGACTCGGACTCAGTCTCGAGTCCGACTCGAGTCACAGTTTTAGTGACTCGGACTCTGTTCACTTTGACAAATAAGTCGGACTCGAGGCTGCGGATTCGGACTCGACGTGCATGACTTGTGACTCGGCAGAAATTACATCGTTGCGTTTTTTTCACTTAGCAAAACAACGCCTGATGCGAAATAGAGGAAAAGTGTTTCCTTTCTACGAATGAAACATTTGTAGAACTTGAATATGTTTTTCAGGACTCGACCTTTGTGACTCGTGACTTGCACTCGGACTCATAACTCGGGACTTGGACTCGAGAGATGCAACTCAGACGTAGACTCGATGTTTCGTGACCCGAGTAAAAGTCTGGGTGTAAATCATATATATTTTTTTCAATTTTAATAGTCATTTTCCAAAGTAATTTCAAATACAGTTCTCGGAAGGAAAGCTTTTCAATTTGAAATAGCGCCCTCCTCTGGTCTACTCGACAACAAAAAAAAACTCACACATGCTGAAGCTCAAGCGGACATCAGACTAAATTTGCAGTGAGAGTACTTAACTCCTATCGCGTCCCGACAATATTCCCAATGATCTGTTATTGGCGATTAAAAAATGGTCACTCCCTTAATCGGTATGTCATTAAATGTGGCAAATCATTTTCAAATCCCATCTCCATTCCGTAAGTAGTAGTGCAATCGTAACTGCGTGCAAGCAAAATGCGTTGCCCAGTTCATTTGCCGCTCGTTCATATTGAGCGCCGTAAGAGTGACACAAAACGTGCATAACACATAAAACAACTGATGATTAATCAATTTTAAATCGACATCTCAATGCTGTTCCTGCCACGTACGCAATAGACAATCACCATTTCGGCATCCAGTCTTCAGCTTTGAAGTCATATGAGTTGATATCACATGTATCAGCCTCTAAAAATAATGCTATAAATTTAAACCAAATTTAAACTTTGTGCTTTGGATGGCACATGCAGAGCTCTCTCGGAAAGCTTAAATGCGTCCAAATACACGATGATCTTAATAAGCCCACACAAAATGAATTTACAGTACAGGGCACGAGTGCGATATCTGATCGCATCCTTTTAATAGCGGTCGCGCGCCAGCACCGAGGGCCGTGTTTATTAAATCATGGGCGGCGAGGGGTGCCATCGGGTTTTTTGCGGCTTCTTGTACTGTACATGCGTTCCTCTCTCGCGGTGGGCAATTCGACACCAATTGCATTGTGGCATCACAACTATGGAGTGTTCCCTGCTGTCTTGTAAAAAAATATATTACCTGCTCATGTTGTATGAGCCTCCAGATCGAAGACTTCTCAATATACACACGTGCCGCATTTGAGACAGAACTTGGATATGTCCCGGCGATAACAATTAAGAATCTCATAAAAAGGCTCCAAACTCTAAATGTAATTTTAGGAATCTGCTTACAAGTTTTACAGTTGATAATTTCTTTTCAAATAAAGAACTCGTTAAACGAAAACCCTGCACCCAAATTAACAAGCGACAAATTAAAAAAGCAACAAAATATTACGCAAAATAAGACCAACGACTCAGCATACAGACAGATGAAATAGAAACTGCCAGACAAACAGACGAGCAGATATAATGACAGTAAGAACGGCACCCAGACTGCCATAGAGAGATTCATTTAACTAGCAAGAGACGACTTCTCTCAAGTTGTGACTCCGAGCATCGCACACGACCTTGCGCGAACTACCGTACCCTATCAGTCTCGCCTTACAGAGGCAAAAGGAGGCCGTCATCGACTCGTACCTCTCAGCACGAGCACGCGACCTGCTCCAGATACGCCACTGTGGGGAGTGTGTACACCCACAGATGTAAATATCATTCGTTAAGATCACTGGCCTCCACATTTGAGAGCGGATGGGATCTGCTGAAGGAAAGGCGAGGCTGGGCCAAGATGTGGCGGCCTTTGTGGGGCATCTTTGGCGTGACTGAGCTATTTCAAACATCCCAGGACTTGGAAGCTGCTGGCTCGCATCTTTCTGGAGTAGTGCTGTCTTCAGTGATAGGGTTTAGGTTTTATATTCTGCAACACTGTTGTTAAAAGACTTTTCAGGAAACCTTGCAGTGTTAGCAGACCTGATGCAAATAGACGAGACAGCTTGTGCTTGTTTGCTGCCGCAATCTACCTCCGGTTTGCCGCCAAGGATTTTCCCCGAGAGTCGAAGTTTGTATACGGTGAGATTGATGTATGGACCGGCATGACGCATTAGGCCCATGTCCTTGCGAAACAAGATGACCCGTTCCTTCTCTCACACATCGAGTTGCATCAGTGGAGAGAGATGAGACAGTTGCATCTGATGATGGGATTCCATCCCCGAGCTTGCTTATATCATCTTTCAATAAACAACATGAATGTTTAATAGGTCCACGCGCGGCGTGAAATACGACGGGTATCGTCTGAGTCTGCGGTTTAAACGGGGGAAGAATCGATGTCATCACGGGGGCCGCATCGTTGATGGTACGGCAGCGCCTTACCAACGGACGGTACACATCATCATTAACCTGAAGGAACTTATCCCAGTCACAAACTGCTTCCAAGATCGGATCTTCCCCAAGCACGGCTATCAACAGTGCATGCAACGGGGACGTCAGAGACGGGGGATACAATGACCCGGTGAACGTTGTTCGTGCCAAGATGAAATTTGGGCCCTTACTTTGCATTTCAGACCCAGTTGCGTGTAGACGATGCCAACATCGCTCAAATGTTCTCCGGATCTTACTGTCGTAGCAGTCGGCACGCCATTAAATCAAATGCCAAGAATAACTTTGACCGTACTTTGGACTAGCTTGTGAATCACAACTGGTCTCTTAACCCTTTCACCTTGGAGCTATGATCTCAGTAAACACGGCTGGCAGCGCTTCACGCCAGAAAACAATGACTGAATCATTAACCTTCGTTGGGGTTAAGGTTGATTTGGGTCAGGAGACAAGGATTCATAAGGATACGATATTTGATCGAGAAGAAACTGGATATCAGAAACCCAGGGACTGTAAAAAATAACAGCCATCGGCTTGGTCGATTCGGATCAGAGGATGTTCTTCATTTTTGACCCATAAAATCTGAAACAGTCACTTTGGGATGGATTTGATGAGTCTCTGCAATTTTGCTTTGACTTGAGCGCTTTCCCCTGACTTCAGTCCAAAGTATAGCGGAATTACTGCCGACTCAGCCAGTAGTCGGATAGTTGATTAAGCCAAGGCGGATAATAATGACGCCAAAAGATGTCTCTCGAGCCCCCGAATGTAGACACTTCATACTTCCCAGCCGTTTCTTCATAATGACAGGTTAATTTCAAATTTAGAAGTCGGCTGCGCGAAGTGATACGGCACCGCACGAAAGGTTCGAGGCAGTTCACGCCGCGAAGGCAGAGGCATCTGTGGATCGGTTGCAAATAGTGTTTGACTGTCGTGTGAAAATACGGGTCTTCATTACGTGTGAGACAAGCACCACAAGTGGAAAGCTGTCTATCTGATATTGGCACTCCCGTGTGCATTAAATTAACAGCCATAAAACTCGCACTGCATTGCAGACACCAGTACTTCAGGGAATTGACACAAGTGCACATCGAATACTGTACGACCCAGTATCAAGGAGCGGAGAGGTTCTCGACACGATTTTGACCCCGGTTTGACCTCAGACACAGCGTACTACCAATTTAACTGCGTGAATGAGACGGTTTTTTTTTTTTTGGTGTACACATTCTGTATGTACGATAAATAAAGTGTAGTGGGAGTTGTCCTCTGACATCGCCGGTTGCCACTGGAGTTCCACGCAAGCCTTTGTGTACCTGCAAATTTCTCTTAATTTTCTGACGGCGGCCGTACGGACACATACACCTGTGCATTGTGCATGCATGCACGCTGTTTGTGTGCAGATTCGGTTACACCAGACACGTCGCTGCAGAAGCTAATATGCCAAAGGTGCAAGTAATGATGAGAATTCATTCGTGGGAATTAATGTTGATTAGGGAAGTTTACAATACAGATGGTTTCTCGGTTGCTGAATATTGCATGCCGCAATACGTGTCATCCCGTTCCTATAGCTACCAGTATTAAAAACCTTGTGTATATAGACACAGCGGCAAATGTGGCGGTGATAATGGTGCATTATCTCTACTGTACAAGTGCTTATTTCGGATTGTTTTTCCTGTGATGATCGATACGAGGATCTTGGACACCGTACCAATGCACGAATGATATTGTAAGGCAAACGTAGGTGAGGTCACGAAACTAGTCGCTGGAGTGGACGTCTAGTGGAGTTGAGCTCCAGTTTGAACTCGTCCAGTTTGAACACCAAACAGAACCAACCCTAGTCTCGGCTCAAGCAGTAAGCTCGAAAGCTAAGTACATCCCAGTCAAGGTCATCGCGTGCAGCCTTCTGCACTGACCACAGCAAAAGCACCAAACCATAATGAAGGGTGTCTTTCAGTTATCCGTAAATATCGCGGCAGAACTATAATCGCTTCGCCTCCACCCACGGCTCCATTGTATTACCGTCGTGGGCCGGTCTTTTGTCCCGTGGGCACCCAACCGAACTCACAGACAGAAGGCCTATGTTGTATGGGGCCCAGGCCCACTAAGCTAGGACTGGTGGTTGTAATGGTGCACGGAACTCGTGTGTGGAAAACAGCTCAAAAGATGGAGGTATGGAGGTCATGGTACGTACAATCTTTGAAGAACTTGTTCGTGTGAGGTTTTGTACGGGGGTGGATTAGGGGTCCAGGGTGTTTCCCTAAACAGTTGTGATCATTCCCTCATTACTCATGTTGTAGTTATTTTATCTTACCCCTCGTACATACAGAAACAAGGGGTGAACATTGCACCGGGAGCTATACACAGACAGATGTTACTTCACTCACTTGTTTCGTGTTCACGTAGACTAAGCAAGAGTGTATTGTATATCCCGCGAACGGAATCGACGCAGTGACTACGTGTGGAACTAGTGACTGGCTCGTGGGTTGGCTGTAAAAATTCAGCCCACTAGACTGGGTTTCCTGGACATATTATCCAAGGAAAACATGGCCTCCCTGATGTTTCCTGCTCATGGTCTGGTAGCCGAGATTGGCCGGATGCTGAGAATTAGTGTCAGCCCTCCTCATGACAGAATGAGGATGGTAGTGTTCCAGCTCTGCTGCCGTCGGGTCCGCGACCCTACTTGTTGCAGGCTTCCTCTATAGTCTTCTATCTCCTAATCCACCCGTTTCCCCAATAACGCCGGTGGAAATGACATCAGAGGAAATACCAGTTTGTGGCCCCGCCGTCAGTTGCTGCTGTAGTTGTGCCTGTTTTTTACACCGTCAGAAGCTGCTGGATCCAAGCCCAGATCTGAGCAGCCCACCACACGACCTAGTCCGTGCGCTGGGTTGGGAGGAGGACATAGGGAGGTTTGGACTCCGAGGACTCGCTAGCTTGAGCTACAATCCAGCTGAGTTGCCCGGGCTTACCCAGTCCCAAAGGGTACCCTACAATCGTCGGAGTAATCGGAAGAGTCATCCCGAGTATCCTGTAACGATCAGTGCTGGGCTGGCTATTCTAGGGCTTGGCCCTCGTCAGTTCTTTGTGATCGTGTGCTTATATTTACGGTTCCTGGTCTCTCAACGAGTGGAATATTTGGATTTTATACGCGAACTGTTGCTGGGTCTTCTCTTGGTGGTGTGTTTCACCCTGAGAAAATACGGTGAATTCCCCGAACGCAGTTGGATCCATTCGTTTGTACATGTAAACTTGGGCAAGTTTTCCACAGGAATTGTGCAGTCCGAATTTGAGGCATTTGCGTCGCTTGCGTGTGAGCTTAGATTTGTCTTAAGTCTGACTCGCTTTGATCAGCTCCCAACTTTTGGGATCTGTTATCAACCTGGATATACCAGCGAAAGACCGAGTGTCCAAGTCAAAATACAAGCATTTCTACCACCGTTGCTCCAAGTTTATACCATCAGATTTCCACAAACTTTGACCAAGTTGTGGGATGCAAGTTTAACTTTGATTTCGAACGTGTGTGATTTAAAGACGAAGGCGCGGATTTTGACTCGAAGTGGCGTGTTTTGCCAGCCTTCCGTGACGCCACTGACCACCATATTTCCCCTGGTCGCCACCCTAGGCCGAGCTCATTACGCCCCACGACTCCTCCAGCACTTGCCGATGGGGTGCATACTGCCCAAACGCCAGAAAAACCTCGGTCTTGAAGGCGACATCAAAGTCTACGACCTGCACGCCATCATCGACCCACACCCGACCACGCTGATCGAGAACTCGCCCACCGTGCTCAAGTACCAGACACCGCACTTCCGCGCCTCGGCAAGGGTGCGATTCCCGCCAGTTAGCGGCAATGACACCTGGCAGATCGGATGGGTTCAGGGATGCAGTAACATGGACTTCACTATTTCCTATGGAAACCTTGGAACGTAAGTTCATATGTTTTACTACAACTTATTTGTGATAGAGCAGAGCTGTAGACAAATCAGGAAGTTTAATCCCACTGATCATCAACCCGAGACTGCCTCATTTCCAAAAGACTTTCCATAAAGCAACAATTAACATAACCAATTCCAACAGCTTACTTCATGACAATTCAGAGTTCAGTTTCAGTTAAAAAATTAGAAGGAATACCAGAAGGAATACATAAAAGAAATTAGAAGTCCCAAGTAATATTGTTGACAGTTATAATGCCTCTTTCAATCACTGAAAACCAAACATAGCCCCTTTAAATTTGAATCATGGCTTACTTTGAATGTGTAGGGCCTACGGGAAAATGTCGGTAACTTCCCTGTACGTGTGTAAATTGTGTATAATCACCATTGTGTCATTCACGCTGTCGTTTCACTGGCTTGTCCATAGCATAAATGCACAACAGAAGTTTAATAGTTTTGTTGGTTTGAGGAACTTGGGATGAGAAATCAACGGGATTTGCACGATCTGTGCGGTTAAAGAAAACAACATGACATTGTTTGGAATACTGTGTCAAATTATAATGTCTGCTGGAGTTAGTTGTGAATCACGAGCTTAAATTAAGTACGTGTACCTGAGCTGCATTGTGGATAACTTTCTGGAGATTCTACCTAATGAGTTTATCCGATGGTTTCACATCATAAGCATCCCAAACCACATCTTTCATCCCACACAAAATATTGGTCATTTCCCGGACGCCGTAATTTTGTTTACCACTTCAGTATGCTCTCATTCCGAGCAAGTTTCTTAAAAAAAAGTGTAGTTCAATGAGATTAGGAACAAAATAAGTACGATTCACCACAATATGTTCGTTTCTAAATGTCAAGTTTCCTTTTCGAAGCAGATTTTTAAGTGGAAGGAAGAAAGTGAGGAACGTAGACGTTTTTCACGTTTGAATTAATTGATTTTTTTATTTCAAAGTCCCCTCGTTTTATAACGTCAAGTGACTTTACCAGGTCAGAGTTCTTTCATAGCAATGAACGGACTGTGGATTCCCCTCATTCTACACGTCCTGTCGTTTTCGAGACAAATTTCTCATTTTATTTTCTACGGATGAAAATGACTGTCCAGTGATGATTGCTGATGATTAATCATTTACCATGATCTAAAAATAATCGCCCAAAACTGAATAATGTAATCCACACCGGTAGGGTTGGCACATTGACGACGCAAATGGAGAAAATTTCACTCTGAGGACAGTTTGAATTTTGGTCGACATTTCCCCTGGTGATGTTCAATGACGTCAGATATGCGTCAGACATGATATCAATTGAAAGATTTATTTCCAAGGCAAGTGTTCTTCGCCGAATTCCCCTTTGCTTCACGACATTGTACATGTACACTAATCGAAAATACCATCGTCGTCTGTGAAGCTGGAAAACGCCCTTTTCAGTGGCTTAATAATGTAAGTTCTGAACACTTGAAACAAGGATTATGACGCGCGTACACCAAGAATAATCATTTCATTCGGCCTATATAGAATCTTGTTAGAGTTCAATTATCCCTACATTAAATGAAATGAAAACTTTGTCGCATGTGAAAAAACAAAATCATGTCATCAAACTGTATAATATTTTGTATTCTCTGCAAAGATGCAGGGTTTAGAACCTCGAAATAAGGAAGCCAACACTTGTCACAAGCTTCGGTCATTAACATCACTTAAGACATTTTCTCATTGCTTTACGAAATTTATAATTCTTACTGCTTCACTAGTCTTTGCACTTTACAATTTCGAAGTAAACAATCATACAACAGTTCGCCTCCAATATCTGGAATTCTCAAACGCACGCACAGGGCTAGGGTGTCGCCCTTTAAACTGAACCGTGGACAAGACTCGCACGCAACGGATATCTGGATACACAAAACAATCAACATGGCTGCTCTCACCTCTGCGAGTGATAAATTGCGTCGTAAATCTGACCTGGGCGGATTGTAAGTGTCATAATGAGTTGCAATTACTTCGACCAGTCACTCCAGTTGTGATTGGAAACTGTTGATTGAGTGTCAGCGTCTTAATTGTTTTTGTGGGATCGAGGATCCGAGTCCTTAATTAACGAAGCCATTAATTGGTGCGCGTAACTTGCAGTGTGGCAATAATCAGTGGTATACTTATTCCCATTGCTGTGTTCAATGAGGTTATTGACAGCTTGGTATTCAATACGGTGAACATTTAGGCCACTAAAAGGCCACTAAATTTGTCAGATTGTATGGCAACCTGAGACATGGCTCAGTGGCTATTATGCTGTTGGTGGTTACGTCACTGGGACCAGACCATTTTGTGTACTCGCAAAAATATATATCATATATATCATGTCGGCTGTGCCAAAGCTTGTTGAACGCATCATTTTTCGAATCTTTCTCGTTTTCACTCCCAAAGCAATTAGTCTGTTTGCCATAATTTCTGTGGCTTCTGATAAAAACAAAGATTTTTTTGTTTGATCTGTTTTAGGCCCACACAAAAACTACCGTCCCAGGCAGTTACAAAATAAATTGCACAAAAAGAGCCTTTATTTGCAACAAAAATAATGCATTACCAAGAGACAGTCGAAAAGTCATTTTGGTCGTACACCTTCACCGTGAAATATCCATCTTTAGTATTAATCAGACTTTTGCTAACAGGCACCAGTCTATTCACAGAAACCAGTCGTGCAAAGCACGGACGTCAAAGCCATTAATTCTAATAACCATAAGAAGCCAGTGTTTAGGTTGAGATGGGATGATACGTACAAACTGGTCCACAACCTCGCCCCTGTCACAATACAATGTACTCAATATCCTTGGGCACATTTTGCATAAATTAAATACAATCCCTTTTTACTACACAGTCCCCAAATGGACAATACATGTATAAATAAGGCTTGGTTAGGTTGAGAGTTTCTCCACATATTTTATCGCCAACTTACAATGTAAAAAAGGTTTCTTTACGAAAAAATGAACGAATCGCAGATTCATCTGTTATGCACGCCCCCCCACCCCGTATTTTTCCAAGAATGCTTAGGTCTGCAAAAATAAAGCTATTGCAGTTGTGGTTTTAATTTTTGTTTTTACAAATGACTTCTCCTTTTCCGTCCTTGCGAAAAAACAATGTTTTTGTATATGGTGTTATTGTTAACGTAGGGTTGAACTTATCAATGTACACTACTCAAAAAAGTTCAGGACCACCTTTTAATAATGTGTGTGTATACTTTTTATATGAGACCTTTTACTGTTGAAAATGTGCATTTGATGTTTTTATTCCAATGAGAACACCATCTAGACAAACAAAAAATGAAAGAACTAGACCCCACTCATTGCTTGGAAAAAATCACGAGTTAAGAAAAAAAGTGGTCCTTAACTTTTTTTGGGTAGTGTATGAACCGGTATCGCTGCGTCATGCAACATGTGCTGCACTGATCAACACATGGGATGTTTATAATACACGGGATGTCTGGTTTTTATCCTTCGTGATAACCACATGGAATTCTTGAACGCTTGCATTTTGGTGTATGCAGTACAATTTGGCAACCTTGACAGACTTTGGATAAAATTGGAAACAAGCGTACTTGTAGTTATTGGAAAGTAATGCCAAAGGCATACGTTATCAATAACATGGAGAAAAAATGACTTCGTCTGTAACTTGGAAATGGTGGCTGTTAAGCGAACGTGCACGTTTAACTAGTCCTTTCTTCGAACTGTCTGTTTGGGCTCAAGTTTGAAGGACAAGTTGATGGAACCTATCTGAAATCCTGCAGTTATGGTCTGCCAACAGACCGAATAGAACTGACAGTGGGTACTTTGAATACGCAGGACAATTGCTGTTTGTCAATATCGTCTACCAACCAAAGAACTTTTCAAATATGACACACTGGTGGGTTAGTAGTATCAGGGTAGATAATGTTGGTCATGGACGAGGGCCATTCGTAAGTGAAATTTTGTTCCCACCGCAACCACGAAAACTCTGGTTTTTAAGTTTGCGTTTGATAGTCTTGCTCGCTTCCGTGGCTGCTCAATTACGTGTACGTGATGGGTTGTACTACACCAGTGGAGCCCAAACGCGAATCTCGTGACCTGACATGTGGTGCAACCGCATACCAAACTTGTTGCATAGGTTTTGCTTTTAACTGAGTGGGTTTTGAAGATATCCACTCAGTCAAACGCTAAACTTAAGTGGGAGGCACCTTTTCAACTACACAAATCCTGGTAATCTTTAATATTGGCTGCTTAACGCCAATCGAAAGCTAATCGAAAGCTGCATCGATTAGAATAGAAGAAACTTTATGTTGGGCATCCAAACGTCCAGAACCTGGCCTGTCGAAATCGAGTTCCACTGCGTGCTTCCCTGGACAGCAACCTGCCCATCATCAAAGTAGCAGGTGGCTACAAGCCGTCTGGTGAGATTAAGTCAATTTTCTGTGTTGATGTTGCGGTAGACCGTAACATTAATAACGGGCGCGCGACTTGATTGAGGCGCTGACTGGTAGGCTATTTTTGTCTGGCGAGCGCGTCCAGGATTCGTCCACCCAACTCGCTTGAGGTCTGCAGTGACTTTCATAACATCCATGGCATCTCTTCATTTAGTCCCAAATGATTCAGCTGCTAGGTGATGACTCCTCAAGAGAGTGCATCGTTTGAATAATGGACATTTAAAACTACAAAGACAAATATCTTTCGCAGTATTGCCACCCCGTCGCCTTCCACTGTGAAGAATAAACCAAAAGAAACGTGCGTACCTTGCAGACAACTATCCGTCGGTACGTTACGCTTTCTAGTCTGGGCGACTCACGTTGCACGGTTTCATTTTTCCGTTTCGTGCTCAGGTCTGTCCGCGGTAACTCGGACGCGATATATTAATAACACTCCGATTGCGCATGTGCACGCACGCGCCTTTCATCTTAGGTAAACCGGGCCCAGGAGAATTTCCAGCACGGAAAGTGGTTCATGCACGGTAGCTCTTTGCCAGCCATCATGGGAACAAACT